TCAAAATACATCTTTTTTCTTTATAAGTTAATGGCCTGAAGTAGTTTGTTCCAGTGATGCAAAGCTGACTAATACAGCATCCATACAAGTATCTATTATGAACAAGTAACTGATCTGTGGACATAAATGTCTATCTCCAAATTAGCTCTCTGACTATAACTTGGAAACAGACTTTGTAAATTCATTCTTCACCTTTACTACTTTCAGCCTACCATTAAGGTCAAGGAAAGAATGTGAGCCCTTTCTCTTGTGGCTTATACTGCAACTTAAGTACAGTAATTTTGAATTATATATTATTTTGAGCTAAAAGGATTCTTGGAGATTTTCTTGGTACACATGATCAAATTATCTGGGGGAAACTGAGGCCTAAACAAACTGCTCAAGATTACCCATTGGCAGAATCAAAGTCAAGTCTTTTAATTGCACCATATAGTCTGACACGATCATTTATGAAAAAATTATTAGCCATAATTACAGCATGCCTTTGTGTTAAAGTCTAGGACACAAATACAATAATTAGCATTAATTACCAGCTCATTCTTATATAGCAGGAACTAGAGTAGACATGTATACATTATATCATTTAATCCTTTCCTTATCTCATTTTGTAGATCGGAAGTTGAGGCCTGAAGAGTTTACAGTAATTAATTTCCAGTTACATAGCTGGCTGGTAAGTGACAGAGCCATAGTTCAAACCTACTTTCCTCTTTAAAACCTGAGCGCTTTTCACTTCCCTTATCACCTCTAATGAGTGTTTTTGTTTAAGCCACAGAAATTGCCACTGAGACTGGCATAAATTATAAGGAGGATTTATTGGAGCAAGAGATTGAGAAGAGGGAAGTGTGACTTCATCTGTCATTTCGTCAAAACTGTGCTTCCCTGGCTCTGTCTTCCCTGGCTTGGTGCTAAGACCTCAGGCTGGCTTCACGGGGGCCTAGTCCTCATTCGTTTCTAGTAAGGAAAAAGGTGGAACTAAATAATCTATTGAGCAAACATCCTAATGTCTTGGACTCTGACTGGACAAACCCCTGAGCAGTCCATAGATGCATTATGAAATGGACCCTCAAGCTCATGACTAGAGCTTAGTGCTGTTAATATGGGAGGGAAAGGGGTGTTTATTCTCAAAAGGAAAACCTGAGGACTGTTAGAAGAAGGAAGGAAGGAATCTGTTACAGGCAGCCAAGACATTTACCACCTCCATATCCAGTCCACATTTCCATAATCAACATGATCACAGATGTAGAACCGGCAGCATAGACTTTGGTAGCAGTGTTCTTGACTGCTTGCTGTAAGGTGCTAAGAGAAGAATGATTCCGAGTACATTTGGCATGTCAACCTTAGGCATCTTTAGATACTCGCCTGAACATTTGGGCATTATTCAACGAACAGATAATACCTATCCAAGCAGGGATTTCTCAAAATTACTGACTCTACGCTCTCTAGGAAGAAAGTGAAGATGTAATAGTAACCCACTCCTCATCTTTATAACCCAGATTCAAAATGTGCCTTGTCAGTCCAGCTTTAGAATCTACCCCTTTCCTTTAATAGCATCTTCACAATACGATACATGACTGTCTATGTGTCTAGCTCCTCCACTAAGTCCTTTTGAAGGAAGGGCTGACTGTTTTTACCTGTCTTTGACCCTCAGCCTGGACAGGCAGCTCACCCTCAGCAAGGGAACGCCTCCACCAATTGATCAGGGCTAGCTCTGACGGGAGGGCTCACTGGAGCCCACATGATGCTGTGCTAGTCATTCACCTCCTCAGCATCTCCTCTTCAACTAAAGGGGCACAGGAACAACATCACCTTCATGAGGTTATCCAAAAAGTGTGTTGTGTAATGTAAAACCATGAAAATGTCATCTCTCCATATTGTTTTGATTCTAAGATGCATAGCTCTGAAACTGAAGTCCATCCTAAATCTGTGTACAAAGGCTTACCATAGTTTAATGGGTGGTAGGTTTTTTTCTGTCCTACTAATAGTGATATATCTTTCAATCTACAGTGTCTGATATTCAACAAAATACCCTATAGAAATCCAGTATTCTACCTCTGACAAATGCCAAAACTGTATTAAGTGCTCCATTTGTCAGCCTTAAGAGATTCCCTCCTAGCCTTCCTAGCATCCTGGATCCCTTTAATACCTCCCTATCCATCTTACGTGAACATGAACATAAAACTTACATTTACAGTATTTGAATTTAAAAGCTATGGATAAATGTTTTTGGAGATTATTTGTATTTTGATCTCCGCATACACTAGTTACACTACTATATTTAATATAGCACTTAATTTTACTTCTCTTTACTTTGCATTACCATCTTCCTGCACTACCTCCTCCAATAAGTTTTGAATCATGGGAAGAATCTTGTCATGTTTTGAAAAGAATAGTTTTAGTTCTAGATCCATTTTGTCACTAATTAGCTACATGTTGAATCTGTCCATCATCTACAAAATGGGGATGATAATATTTTCCTCAAAGTTATGCAGCATCAAATGAGATCACAGAGGTGGAGTTCTCTTAAAATTGCTGAACTCTGGACTCTGATGAACAGGTAGATAGATCTCTGTTTCCCTCCATAGTTTTGCCAACCTGGACAGCTTCCAAAGACAATACAGAAGAAAGAATATCTTTTAAGGTACGTTTCATTACTTCCTATATTCATTCACATGATCCCCAAGATGATTCTGTTCTCCAGTCATCTACACAGCATGAAAAACAAAGCAACCCATTGTTACATTTGCCTGCATCCAGTTTCCAATAAGGAGGTGGATGCCACGGCTTTAAATGTCAGTGTCCCCCTGCTTTGCCCCATCCTGCAGGAGCTGGTGCTTTTGCTAGGGCCTGCTAGGAGGCTTATCTTGATGTTGTCAAGATGGTGCAAGCTTTAACTTGAGACTGACTTTCTTTGAATGTTACTTACCAGAGACAAGCTCCTTTTTATGTTTGCTTTAAAGTAATAATCATTTGTTTGTAGTTTGCTTCCTTTTTAAAAATTTTGTGCTTCCTCCTATGCTGCACACTAGTAAAACTGTCTTTGTTTTAGGCATAAATTATGAAGTGAGTGGAGGTAGACACTAGGTCATTACTACATATTTGCACTCATGTGCTCAATTTATACTTGTCAGTGTTTTTATAGGCATCCCATGTCAGTCTGATTAATAGTCAGTATTTTTGAGGACACTGAGACCAGGTTTCGGAGATCACAGAATCAGAATCAAAACCCAAACCTGAGCACAGGCTCCAAAGGTTTTGATTTTGATTTTTTAAATCTGCATTTTGTCGAAATATTAAAAAAAAAAAAGGAGCCAAGTGTAATGGTGCACACCTGTAATCTCAGCACTCTGGGAGGCTGAGGCAGGAAGGTTGCAAATTCAAACTCACATTGGGCAACTTAGTGACTTAGAGGGTTGTGTCTTGAAGTAACTAACTAAATAAATAGCTCTGGGGATGTACCTAAGTGTGAAGACTTTGAGTTTAATCCCCAGTTACAAAAGAAGGGTGAGAGGTTAAAAAAAAAAAAAAAAAGGTATTTGAGCAGGCATTTGGCATTATATTTTTGCTCTTGTAAACCAGAGCTCATTTCTCCTTTCTGTCATCACTTCATGTTGTATTTCTGAAGACGAGCTTGCCAGTGGGCCCTTTTCCTTTACATCTTCCTGGAACTGTTCCAGATTCTTATGGCACTACAGGATAAGTATTGCACAAAGCAGACAGTCTAGGCGAAGGCATGGGGGATAAAGGACATGAATGAGTTAGTACAAAGCTGGTAATAAAACCTATAACGTGGGTAAAAGGCAGAGGATATAATTTGCTGGCAGGGTTATTTAGTTCCACTGTCAAGAACTACATTTCTCTAACTGCAACAGGGAGAGAGCTTCAGCCAAAGAAAAAAACAAAACAGCTTTTCAGTTCTGAGAATTGATTTGTATGAACCCACAAGCAAGAATTTCTTTTTGATTTTTGAGTATTTGGGCAATAAAGTAAGCCTACATTCAGCATTGGCCAGACATTAGAGTTTATAAGATACAATTCTTATAAATCTCTTTCATTTCACAGCATGCTTATTTTTTATATTTGGTTGCTATATTGTTTTACTACTTCTGCTTCTTATTTTTACTTTAGTTACTTTTCTAATGAGTGAAGAAAATTTCGCAATGGGAAGTCTTTGTATGAGAAAGGAAAAAAATTTGTCTGTGAATTTAATTGGATTTCTTGGGTGCACAAAGGCAGAAAACATTTCAAACAAAAACCACCCGTTTAAATGACTGAAGAACATACACACAAAGATGAAACTTCTAGGATGCACTTTGGTGACCAAAAAGAGAGGTGCAAAAATATATAATACATTTGGAGAAAAAGAGGGGAATGCATTTTAAAGGTTAGGCAGGCAATTTATTAAAGTGAAAGTTATTTCTAAGAGTAGAACACGCAGTCTCGGGAAATTGACTTTAAAAGAAAGCAGAAATCGGTTTATATTTTATTTCTCCTCGTCTCGTTCATCAATTCCTCTTAAATGAAGCGAAGTGGCATTTTTCTGGGGCAGAGAAGTCCCAGTAAAGAATGCAACAGAAAGAAAGGGCGCTGTCTGGTCTGATCTCGTGGTGCTCGGTGCGGGGGGCGAAGTGGTGTGTTGGAAAACTCCCTCCAGGGTCTCGGGGCGAGGTCTGTTCGGTGCTCATCTAGCGCAGGCTCCAGGTTTTAGGGTGAACCTGTCCGCTGACCAGTCTGTCCCCAGTAAGGAAGAGGCGTCTCCCCTGGGAAAAGGGGCCGCGGCCCGGGCTCCCGGCGGACCCTCCTCCCCTCCCCCGAGCACCTGCTTTTCCGTCCTCGCCCGTCCGCCGGGTTGGGGTGGCGCCGGGAGAGCCACCTGCGACGCCCTCGCCACCGGGGCGGGGGCCACCGCGGGGACCCGCGTGCGCTGCCGGCCGGAGAGGGGCGGCGCGGAGGGCGGGGAGGGGGCCGGGCAGGTCCTCGGGCGGCTGCGGGCCTGGCTGGAGGCTCCGAAGAGCGCGGCGCTCGCCTGGGTCCGTCGCGTTGCCAGCGCCGCCGAGCGCGGGCCATGTGGCACCTGTGGCTGGCGCTGTGCGCGCTGGCGCGGCTGTGGCCCGGGGTCCTGGCCAGCTGCGCCAAAGCCGGGCGCTGCTGCCCCGGCCGGGACCCCGCCTGCTTCGCCCGCGGCTGGAGGCTGGACCGGGTCTACGGGACGTGCTTCTGCGACCAAGCCTGTCGCCTCACCGGGGACTGCTGCTTCGACTATGCCAGGGCGTGTCCAGGTTGGTGGCCGGGCCAGGGTGGGGCGTCGGGCTTTGCCTGCTGACAGGTGGCCTAGGACAGGGCAAGGCGTGGGACCAAGGACCGCAGCTCAGGAGACAGGTGTCCCCCAGCCGCTTCCATGTCCTTCCTTCCCGGCCCGGCCAGCCCAGCTCCTCCGTCAGGTACATCCAGCCTGATCCACTCTGGAGTCTCCCAGGGCTCCCCGTCTAGACAGACAGCTCCGACGCTCCCCTTGCTCCCCTCGGCCTGGTTGGGAGGCCTTGGCAGGGTCCAGGGGCCTGACCTGGGCCGGACCCCCGGTGTTCATTCTGTCGGCCTTCAGGACTCCTGGGGCTGCAGAGGGGCGATGAGGACAGGAACCGGTGGCGGCCCACCGAGTGCCAAGCTTGCTGCAGAAGTGGCTTTCTGCTGGAGAGCAAGTTCTTGGAAGTCTGATGTCCTCACCTCTGGACCTCAAAATGCAGCACAGCCAGGAGGTGTTGCCCCCTAGGAGGTGTTCAAGATGTTTTTGAAATTCATTTTTATTTGTGTGACATGATCAGGATTTTTATCTGCAAGCCCTTGTTATTTTTTTAGTCTGCTGGTTTTCCTCTAGGGTCAGTCTTTATCATCTTTGAATCTTCCACAGTTTCTCAGTTTCTTTCCCTCTGGAGGGCTCAATAAATGCCAGTTCAGTTGAATTAAAAGGCAAAGGAAGAAACAGTAAGTGTAAGCCCAGAAGAGCAAGGTGTGCCTCAAAGAAGCCAGCTCTGGAAATCAAGTAGTCGTGCTCCCTGACAATCACATTGCCCCCAAAGCCACTCATACATTAAGGTTTGGGCTCAAGGATCCCAGCTTGAGGGCTGTTCAGCATCTTCCGGGAAAAGGAGCCCACGGTGCCGTGCTGTGCAGTGCCCCAGCAACAGGATGCCCGTAGGGACGAGCACCCCTTCTGCCTCCTTACTGGGTGAGGGCCTGAAGCTGAAACCACACAGTTGAAAACATATTTCGTGACCCAGGCTGACAGCTAATGATTTACCTTTGCATAGTGCTGCTCACTTATTCTTTTTCACAAGCTTCTTTGCCTTTCCTGCTCTAAGGCTTAAGTAGTAGGTATCTTACTACTAAAGAAAGGTGGAAAGGTCAGCCATTTGGGAGATGCAGCACCTCGAGTTGGGGTCCCCAGCCCTAAACTCCAGTTTGTCTCTGTTACCTGGGTAACTCGAGGAAAGCCTGTGGCAGACTCATTGTCTCATGAGGGACTTACCTACATTTTAAGATTATTACAGACTTCGTGAAACTCAGATAATGTGCCCAGGTAAGCTGGGAAGATGACGAAGAGGGACTCTGCTCCCTAGGAGTTCATCGTCTGCCAGGAACACGGACAAAACTACATGCAACATGCTCAGTAACGCAGTCCCCATTACCTGCAGGCCATATGTTCCAGGACCCCCAGGACACCCTTGAAACTACTGATAGTACCAACCTCTCTATACTGCTTTTTTCCTGTATGCTTTGCAGTTGACACATAGGGTTAATCTGTTTTCCATGTTTTATGCCCCAATACCTCTTTTGCATCACTAAATCATTATTCTTTCACTTGGGGGTTTAAAATAAAATAAACGTCATGTGACCACAAAACACTACAATACCGTGACACTGGACCTGATAACTGAGCTCATTACTAAGTGGCCAGCCAGCGGGTATTGTCTACAATATTGATACCCTGGATGAACGGATGATCCATGACCCAGGTGAAACACAGCAGGACAGTGTAAGATTTCATTAGGCCACACTGAAGGGTGTGCGGTTTAAAACGTATGAGTTATTTCTGGAGTTTCCCATTTAGTGTTTTCAGACCTCGGTTAACTGTGGGTAAGTGAAACAATGGAAAGTGCAAGTGGAGAAAAGGGGGAGCCTCTTCCAGTAGAGGCGGAGGTGATCTGGGAGGGAAAACTTGAAAGACCTCAGGAATTCAAGGAAGACTTCTCAGAGGAAGCCGTGAGCAACCTAGTCCTGGAGAATGAGCAAGAGGTCTCCGGGAGAAGGGGGAGGCTGGGGTGCTCTGGGAGAGATGCCCAAGGTCCTTGTCCAAGAGTTATCTTGGAGGTCAGTCTGTGTGCCAGACCTGTGCTAGCCTCAGGCTGAAACAGCGCTGAGGACAGAAAGAGGACATGGCCAGGTCTAGAAAGATTCAGGGACCTGAGAGGGATGCGGAAAAGGCAAGGAGAGTGTAGTGAGAGGAACTTGCTGTCTGATGAGGCCTAACAGTGCCATGATGAGTTGCAAAACCCTCAGAATCTTGATTTGGTCACAAAGAAATACCCTACTTTCAGTCTAAGAGGTAAAATTAGTAAAATCAAGAGGCAGTTGTTTAAGAGCAGGGATTTATTGAGTGAGCAGAGAGGAGATGAGGTGAGTTTACTGTCTTATGAAGAACTGAGAAACAAACCCCAGCAAGTGCTTACCCAGGACAAGGGCTCCAGTGGTAAATGAAGGAACTGAGGCCAGAAAAGGAAATGGTGTCTGATAGAACTCAGAAAGAGCATGTTCAGGGGCCCCAAATGCACTTTCCCAGAGGGTCAGCAGGGGACCTTGCAGACACAGATAGAAGGAGCTCAGGCGAAAAAGGCTCCTGCTGGTAAGTTCTCTGTACCTGATGTTTCTTGTGAAGGGAAGGAGAAAATAGAGACAATGGGAAGCTGGCCGCTTGGTGAGACAGATCTGCTCGTACTGGCAGAGTGAGGGGAGAGGAAGGCCCAATGGCCCTGAGAGGCCACTCTCCTGGGCCTGTGCCACCGTGACTGTGCAGACCGTGGTCTCACAGCCTCTTTGCCCTGGGCCTGCCTGTCCTGCCCAGAGCTGCCTGGGCAGCTGGATGCTGGCTGGGGGCAAATCTTGAAATAAAGGCTTCTGTCATTTTCACAAAATTTTCTCTCCAATTATTTATTGTTCACTTGTGGATTTTCCCCCCAGAAGTAACCCAAATGCCTCAATATTTACCCTTAAAGTGAGAGAATACTAGGTTCAATCTTTTCCCTGCACCCTAGTGGCTTTGTGACCCGGGTCAGCTCTTGAAGCCTGATGAGGCTCATTTATAGAAGGGGAAGGATAAAACCAGCAGGTGGGATTGACAAGTAGGTGATGCCTGGAAAGCCCGGACCTGTAGCATGGCAGGCACTTTGGTAGCCCATGTCCTGTCGGTCAGCTCTGAGCACCTATGGACACCAGTGGACATTTTATTTGATTAAGTATTTATATAGTTTTATGACAACATAGTAAAATGTGTGTTAGTTAATATTAATTCATATATATTTTTTATGTATTCCTGCCATATATACCTGGATCATTTTACCAACAATTTTGTAAGAAAGGCAGGTCTGTCCCATAACCCACCAGTGCAAAAACTGACAGGTCTGAAGTCCAGAAAATGAATGCTAAGGTTGAAATTTTTTTCCCTAACTCATTTGGTGATAAAAATCTCACATGTCCCAAACTGATGGAAGGCTGTTGATAATCTCTTTTTTTTAAATCCCATGCCATGTAAATATATTTCACCTCAAAAGTATTACCACATTCAATAAGAGTTTAACCTAGTCCTGGGGAGGAGACATTCAACCCAAGGTATCTACTCTCAATGCCTACACTAACCTGTGTTAGCATTTGTTTTGGTTTGTTCTGAGGTACAAGGGATTGAATCCAGGGGTTCTCTACTACTGGGGTGCATGACCAGCCCTTTTTATTTTGAAACAGGGTCTCAGTACATTGCCCCAGCTATCCTTGAACATGTGATCCTTCTGCCACAGACAGCCGAGTAGCTGGGATTACAGGCATGCCACTGTACCTGGCTACATTACCTTTTTAACAGATGCTGGAGCTGAGACTTTCTAAGGGCTCCCACAACTCAAGTTCATGTGAATAAGCAGTAGAGCTAAGAGTCTACACTGTCTGATTTCAAGTGGCCACCAGCCACATCTATGAACTTCAGTTCATGGATATTATATATTCCTGAATAAATCAAGACTCACAGTACCCCAGTTACTGTATATACTTAAGACCATTCTGCCTCTTAGAATCTCTTCTTTTCACACAGATTATATCAACTGCTGTTGCTGCCCAAAACCTTTTTGGCTGATACAACATTCAATGTGAATGAAAATTGTAACTGAATCAGTGTAACTGGACATGCTTTACTTCTGTTCCTTCTGCTTTTTTCATCTTTATAAACACATTTTGGAAGAAGAGATGAAATACTGGCATTTCTTCTTCTAAGTAGAAAAGTTTTTTCTTGTGTAAAATAAAAATATTAGCTGGCTACAGTGCTGTGTGCCTGTAATCCCAGCTACTCAGGAGGCTGAGGCAGGAAAATTGCAAGTTTGAAGCTAGCCTGGGCAACTCAGTGAGAACTTGTCTCAAAATAAAAAAAAAAAGGGCTGGGTGTATAGCTCAGTGATAGAGCACATGTGTGAGTCTTGGGGTTTAACCTTCAGTGCCGTAAAACAACAACAACAACAACAACAACAACAACAACAACAAAAACCCCTGTAATTGAAGCTGTAGAATAATTAAACAAAGAAATTTCTTCTGAAATGAATTATCTCAGAAAATCTCATTATGATGACTGCATGGATTTAACACCAATAAATGTACCAGAGGTCCCTTCCCTCCTACCAATCATTAATGAATTAATTCTTCACTGGCTGCGCCTGGCCAGGGATAGGCAGTAGAAGAGGAGGCAGACTTGAATCCAGTTGCCCTGGAAGAACATTTTGGGAGCCTTGATGGCCGAGTGTGTCACCACATCTCTAATTCACCAGCTGGGTTCCTAAGGTCTACACACTAAGGGCTAATGCTGTAGGAGAGGTTGCATTGGATCCTGGAGAGTGACTTAAGGAAAGAGTAATAATTATCTCATCTAGAGCAGGACAAAAATTGAGTAGCTTCTATAGTTTATGAAGAGTCCAGGAAACAAAGTGACAACCATTTCTGGAGGGAAAAGGGGTGCTGTGCTTGAAAATAA